GCTATTTGTAATGGAAATACATCATCTTAATGGGTGTTTGCCGACAAAATATTCTAAAAAAAATCGAAATCTGATATTTTGGTCGTGATTTATGTTGTTGCATCATTCGCCGAATTTTGAAAAAGCGCCGATATTATTTAGATCGCAATCAAGTGAAAGTGACAAATATTCTAATCTGGCAACACATGTCACGGTTTGTTTGCTTAATAAGACGCCAATTTTAACAGTTTTTTATTGCACCATTAATTCGTTGTTATTTTTTTATGTTTCCAAAAGTTAGTAATATTTATTTTTTACAACTCGAGGCACTTGACCCGTGGAATACCCATATTCGTTCGAAGAATCAGTGAAAAAGCCACTGACTCGACCAATTATCGTCCCGCTAACAAGCTGCGAAAGTCGTGTTTTTAACTTTCAGTAAAACGCCCGAAGAAACGACAACTGCTAATTATCCGTCTTTAAATAAACGCAATGTCGGTAGGTCACTGGTATATCCGCACTCGTTGCCCTTGCATTGCAAATCGCACGGTATGAAAATCATGAATCGTGTTTTTTTATTGTCCATCGTTGTCTTATCTCCGAAAATCTCGACGAAGCCCTCAAACGTCTAACGTCAATCTCTATTTTTGTAAAGGCTAACAACTCCGATAAATTTCGTCAGAAAGAGGCGCGCTTAAAGTCAAATTGCACTCGAGCGAAAAAAAAAATCGAGTGAGACATGTAGATCTTGTTAAAATTGTGCTAGATCATGTTATTTATTTTCATTATAGGGGATTTTGAGTTAAGTGCGCCAGATAAGTAGGTAATTACTTTCTGAATACGACAATGTAGATGTAGATTGCGATAGACGAGTACGAATGTGAGATCGAGTAAACGGATTCATTCATGAAATATTTTTATGGTTTAGGAGGGTTCTTTGCCGCTGATGGTATGGCTAAAATTTCGAAATTTTGTGTTAGTGGGTTGTGGAAAAAATATGAAGTAAGTTTTTTGTTTTTCCAAATTTTTTAAACTGTGGTTTTAAAGGAAGATCCTGTATACATTTTTCAATGTGAAATGTTTCAATTTTTCTGTTTTCAGTTTTTCAATTTTTTGTATGTGTCGACTTTTTGTTTCTTCATTTCTTCAGTTTGCAATCTTCCGATTTTTTAGTTTTTCGAATTTTCAACTTCGAACCAAAAAAATGACAAAATTGTAGAATTGAGGAAACGAAAGAGTATAGAATGAAAACTTTGAAAAATCTAAAAATTGGAAATCAAGAACTTGAAGAATTGAAGAAACAAAAAATTGAAAAATCGAAAGATTAAAAATTAAGAAACTAAAAAATGGAAAATGAAGGTCGTAATATACACAGAAAATTTGACAACAATCGATCCAGTAGTTATGAGAGATTGTGTCTAATGAAAATTAATACAGACGACAATGGAAAATGCATAGAAAAACTAAGTTGTTATTCAAAAAGGTGATGACATAATTTTGATAACACCAACCACAAATTTATTTTTTTTTAAGTATCTAATTCAAAAGAAAAATGTAAAACTGGTGTTACCGCATGAAAACAGACTTCCTCAAGTGAAAAATGCAGTGTAAATGCCTAAACCACAAATCACACATGGAATATTATGGTTATCACAACAAAAACCAACTGGTTTTAATTTTAAACAAATACGTAATTTTTCATAGTTATTGCGAAAACGCAAACACAGAGCAAAAATAGCTCAGTAAAACTCAGCACCCATTAACATATTTCTTAAAAATAAACGAATACATATTTTGTAATCGGCTTGTATCAATCTGGTCGTTGCCCACATAAGGCAAACCCAATCACTCATTCAAATCACTCCCGACGAAATTAACATTCTCTGTAGTACACTCGTAGTCTTCCCACTGCACTCAACTCGAGTGTTTAGACACAATAGCCCCTCGGAATTTTCCAGCATTGCTCAGCATCGTTTAATTAAGGATTAAAACAATTATCTCAAAAAAGTCGAGAACCTATTGAACGATGAATAAACATATTTCGTTTCCGCTTAGAAAACAACGTTATCTACCGACCTATTTACGACACTCCATTAAACAGATATATATGGAACGAGGCCCCTTTTTCGTCCAAAAAATGAAGACCGAAGGGTCACGTTGAGCGTTTTCAATGTCTTTGTGAATGTTGGGCGTTTGTCGTTACGCACGGCCGAATCGAGGTAATCTGGTCGCCGTAACAACAACTTAGTCGCGATTAATTTATTATTATTAGTCTTGCTTAAGGAATTAATTAAAAAGTGTTTGCCAAGAGTGCGCATACTTTGCATAGACCGAGCCGACGTCGAGTCCACCTTTCGTTTTCGATTTTTCGGCACAGAAATGGAGATAAAGCAGCCTCGTTCCGACTATCTAATCGGGACGGGTCAGAGTTGAGACTTACTTAAACAATTATTTTAGAAAAATGTGACTGATACGGGAAATAATCCGGTTTTCGATGTTTTCGCTGGACGGAGATAAGGCTAAAAATATTCAATTATGCACAAATCGGAAAGGAGTTAAATTTAGTATTGCATGTCGATAATGATTTTAATCGTAGCAAAAAATGAAAAATCAAAAAGCGTGAAGTTGCGAAGTCGTAGGACAACAAAAGAGCAAACACGCAAACCCTTTCTGTAAAGACTGTCACTAGAGGGCGCAACGGGAATCAGGATTAAATATACAGATTTATGTTACGCCGTACATTTTCCTTTCAAAGTCCATAAAAAATTCCGTAACGATTATAATATCGTTCGAACAACTTTCATACACGCCCATTTCTTAACCATTAGTTTCTCTCCGATTAAAATTCAAATATTGTAATATTTCGAAAATGGGTAATTTTAATCGAAACAAAAAAACAGCGTAATAAAGCATTTAATTTAAATTGCTTTGTATCCTTGGTTGTAATTTTTATCGCAAGCCATAAATATTTGCAAGTGAAATAGATACCGATCACTGATTTTATTATGAATAGTTATTTCTATTGTAATGAAATTGTTGATGGCATTTTTCGCATTTTTGTCTGTACTGCGTCGCATCTGCTGGTCCCTTCACTCTTTCTCTGCTAGGACACAAATTCGACTTTCTATCTACTACACTCACATTTTTTTCGTATCAATTTTATTCTGTCACGTTGTTTGAATAATTAGCTAGTGGGTGACCTCCAGCAGGTGACACACCCAAAAATCGCACAATATGTTCATTATAGTTCACGCCATGGAAACAATACTCGAAGCGTAATAAGAATAAGGTTTAAAAAAAAATTATAATGAGTAAACAAGTGTCTATCGTTTAATTGGTATTTTTCTTTGATATCGACAGTCTGGTGCATTTACATTACAAATAAGCGTGTCACAAAGAAATAAATCCAGAGCGATAAATACATTTTGTGATAATGTGATTAATGCTTGGCGTTTAGTGCCTGCATACATTTCCTGTGTTGTTTTAATGCGCTGCAAGGACGGCAATAATACTTTCACTGTGTGACGTAACGAGGACGTGTGCCGGTGCACACCCTGTATATTTTAATACCACTTTCTTCGATGCGTTCTTGTATTTGTTTTTTGTTTGATCATTAAGTGACAGCTTTCTATTATTCAACATGTCATTAAATCTAGTTTTTTTTTCGTCACCTCCACTTATTTAGTTGTGTCGTTGTTTCCAAAAATTTTAAATGCGGTGTCCTTAAACTTATATAATGTTCTGAAAACCGCTACATTAAAAAAAACTCGCTCATCGCATTCATTCAGAACTCGTTAAAATCTGTACGAATTTCGTAGTTTTAGTGTCACCGGCGAACTAGGATAGACATTGACCTTTTCGAAAAGGAAATAGTATTCAGATTGACTAAGAAAAAAATTTGCATGTATGATGATCAATAAATAATCTTAAATTCAAATTTGTAAAATTAAAGTAATGAAGTGAGTTACCTTGAACACCGAATTTAGTTTAATTGAAAATATCAGCGCGCCCGGTAATAGCTACAAGATAATATCGATGTTTTGTTGTTATGTCAATAAATGCAGATCACTTCGATAAAAACAATGCATTCTCAAGGTTCAAAATGAACCTGATTTTTAACTTTTTCCATGAACTTCGGTTCTGTTTGGCTTGTTTAGGCAACCAAAATTACACCGGTAGTAAAATGGACCAACTAGGATTTAAAAATGTGACAGTTTCCAAAATTTTGAATTTTGCTGGTGGCTATTAATGATTGCGATGAGTTTGTCAGGTTGGCAACATATTAAAATTTTATGGTGGCATACCTGATTGTCAAAATGAAATTTATTAGGCGCGCTTTTGTCAAAGTTAACAACAATGGACTGACATGTAAACATTGCTGCCAATAATCCAAAATTACTGATACAAAAATCGTGTGTCGATGTTAATTGGACAAATAAATTCCAGAACGACCAAACTATCAACTTGGACTTGTTTGATTAGTAGTTCAGGGGCGATGGAAATTTTGTCTAATAACATGAAAAACAGAAAAATTATAAACTTGTCAGTGTTTACTTGGTATTTATTTATCTTGGCAAATACAGGTGTTAAAATTTGATATATTAAAGATCAAGATTGTGATTAATAAACCTACTAACAGTGCTAAGAAAAGATCTTTCGGAAATAGAATTCAATATTTTCTATCTTTTTTAAAAATGGAAGTACACAATTACGGAGATACATAATTAGGGGAAGTATTGGCTGCGGTTTCGACTATGTATATATAGGTTCGTAATTACAAAAAATCTCGATACAGCCTGTTTTATTTGAAAAGTTAACGACACAATAGATGATGGGTTTTCCAAATCTTGCTCAGTATGTTTTTCTAATTATAAACGCCAAAGTCGAGCCCCCATCTAAATCAGTCTCCGAACTCCACGTCACGTCGCTCCCAATCGTATTGTTGTCGTCCAGTCCAATTGACCCCAATCCAACAACTTGACCCCCGTCGCACGTCACAACTAATCCCCTTTCTGTTTCAGAACCTTTCCTTCTCGACGAGAAGATGCTACCAATCCTGGAAGATGTGGAGCCCCCTCGTGCCATAGAAGTCCCCATTGCTCCCCCCTCGAAAATCGAGTACGTCCGTACCCCCGACACCCAGTTCCTCCTTAAAGAATTCGAGACCGTCTACGACGTGGTCGAATTCACCCATGAAACCCTCACCCCGCCCCAGAGCCCACCCGGCGACCAGAAGATCCTCACCACCCTCGAACCCCTTCTCCACTCCTCTTATGCCTCCCTTGCGGATAAGCAAATCTACCCAGTACCTGAGAAGCCTCTTCTGCCCAATGTGCTCGCGTACCGGCCCCCGGCCGCGCTCCCCGACTACCCGCAGACCCCCACGCCGCAGCCCGACATCGCCCACGAGCTGGCCGTGGTGGACGAGCTGGTGCGGACGCGCGTGGAGGACATGCAATGGAGCAGCGGCCCCTCGTCGCCGAACAGCAACAGCAGCAGCGGCAGCAGCAACTTCGGGGACTGCTCCTCGGACGACCCCGAGTGGATGCCCGAGCCCGTGGAGAATTACGAGGGCGCGGGGCCCGTGAAGGCGGCCCGGAAGAGGAGCAAGCCCTACTCGCGCACTTCTCCCGTCGATAAGAAATCCAGGAAAAAGGAGCAAAATAAGAACGCGGCGACGCGTTACAGGATGAAGAAAAAGGCGGAAGTGGAAGTCATCCTCGGCGAGGAGAAGGAGCTGTCCGTGAAGAACGAGAAGTTGGAAGGAGATATCAAGGACATGCAACGCGAGATTAAGTACTTGAAGGGGCTGATGCGTGATCTCTTTAAAGCTAAGGGACTTATCAACTAACAAACACAATTGGCAACATTTTTACTGCTTTTTTCTATGTCTATGTTTACCTTTAAGGCTTTTTTATATTTTTTCTCTGATTATAGGATAGTCATCACTCCGATGTTTGATAGATCGTTGTCAAGTAGGAAGGATGTTTAAGTGTGTATCGTACTTTTAAGTTAACGTAAAATAGGCGGAAAAAGGGTGTGCTTGATTTAGGGACACCCTTTTTCCATATTTTTAAGTGATTACTGCTCATTTAAGTCTCTTTTTAACACTGTAGGTATAGATGTATGAATTTACTAATAAAGGATCATTTTTTAGGTGGGCACGAATGTGTCTGGTTTTTTTATTGCCTGGATAGTAAACTTTTCGTCGCAAGTAATGGTAATCCTGTTTGTTTATTACACCACGTGATCTATCCAAAACATAACCTAAATTTATTGCATGTCACAATTAACATATTTGTCCCACAATGACTTCCGTCATGCCAACATAAACACAAAAAAGTTCACATTTTTGTTTAGAAAGTATTGCCAACAAACTCATGACATTTTTTTACCAGGAGTACCATACAAACGTCCACAAAATAACTATCTTTGTTTACTGTTTGTAATTCAAACATTTCATTTCTGGAGTGTTAAATCTGACTATTTCAAATCGCTTACAACTTCATAACCTCCAACATTCTGCTTTAACCACATTATCCATTCACCATCCACAATTTTACTGAAAGTAATTTCATTAAAGACACTACTCCGGCTGACCTCCACAAATCCACAGTTCCTAAACATGTGTATACTTATGTCATTATCATCCCCTATCTTCACAACGAACTGTTTCACACCCAACGTTTCAACGCCGTAGAGAAACATCAAAAACATCGCTTCTGAACCGCACTTTTTGCCTCTAGCCCAAGGTTCTGCTACCATTATTTCAGCCTCAGCACAAAGTCGATCTTCTGCATTTGCAAAAAATAAATTTGTATCCCCGATCATGGATTCTTAAAAACCATTGTTACCTGAAGGCAAGAAACGTGCACCAACTCACCGATTTCGTTCCTAGTGTTTTCAAATTTGTCTTTATCGAGAATAATGAAAGTACACTCTGAAACACATAAATATAAACGGGAATGTGACGGGGGCTAAATTTTACTGTTTTCGTCCATCATCCACGATTTTTGCATTTGGTATTCTTCGTCTAACGTGAGGGGCTCTGAAGCTGTGAGTTTTTGAAGTTCTTCAGACTGCATCCAGTTGTGGTATCTACAACACTGTTTTGAAACAGTTGCGTATGTAAAAGTAACACAATACTTTTGCACGTGTTCCACTTTATAAGGCACTAGAATAGTTTTTTGGCCGATGATTGTTGTGTTTTTATTAATTAACATTTTAATTGTTAGGTTAATTCACTGTTTTGACAGTTCATGAGCGCATGCGCACAACAAGCTAACAGTTCGCAGGAGAACCAACATAGCATTATCAATTTATCAAAGCGAAATAAAACTGACAAATAAAGAATTTTTCTTACAAGCAGCTTTAGTTGTAGTTGTTGCTTATTAAATTAGGAGTGTATTTTATTAAGTTTTGCTTTTATTTAACAAAATATGGTATTGTTGGAAGTTCTGTTAGGACTTGGAATGCAGAACCGGACTAGTAATAAATCGGTGCTAACCACGTGCTAACCTCTTTCCTAATTATTATTCGTAGAACCTATTTATTAATCGAACTTTCTCCACATTTTCGTTGATGTTTGTAAAATTGTACTACAAATTTAAGTAGTATGATAAAAATTACTGTTCCTAATAGTAAAAATGAAGATGCCATGAGTTCTAGTTCTATTTTATTTAATCAAATTTAAAAAACTGCACTTGTTTGTGTTTGTTAAATTAGCAATATTTCGAGCAAATAGACCAACTCACTGTGTAATTTCGCACGATCTTATTAACTGTTAAAAAAAGTGAAGTTTACCCGTCTCGAACCTCTCAACAATTGCTTGAATAAAAAACTCGTTTGGTGTTACGATTCCTAAATCCGGTCCTGGCCACCACCCACCGCTCGTGACTTGAAGTTGCTCCGCAATGCCACCAACCTCCGTCCACTCACGACCCAACGATTTTATCTCTGGAAATATTTAATTACGTCGCGTAAACAAGTCTCCGACTCAATCCATCCGCCGATTGCGAAATCTTGCAAAACCATTCGTAGGCACTCTCACTAACCCCGCTTTAGCTGTGATTATCACCCCCCGGCGCCAACTTCACGCCATTCCGCAAATTCCTGTTCGTATTGTCATTGCTCCATCAGAAAATAAATAAATCTCGCCGAAGACATGTCAGACTGGGACACAGTGACAGTTTTAAAGAAGCGGGCCCCCAAAGCCTCCGCGATGAAAAGCGAGCAGGCCGTGAACGCGGCCCGCCGCCAAGGAGTCCCCGTGGACACCCAGCTCAAATGTAAGCAAAAAACCTTCTAGAACCTTCCAGGCAAGTTTCTGTTGTAGGGGGCGCCGGGGGCAATAAGCAGCACGTGGCCACGAAAAACACCGCGAAATTGGACCGCGAGACCGAGGAGTTGAGGCACGAAACAATCTCGTTAGATGTAGGTAAGATCATCCAGCAGGGGAGGCAGGCGAAGGGGCTCAGTCAGAAAGATTTGGCCACAAAAATCAACGAGAAGCCGCAGGTGATTACGGATTACGAGGCCGGCAGGGGGATTCCGAACAACGTAATCATCGGAAAGATCGAGAAGGTGATTGGATTGAAGTTGCGGGGGAAGGACCGCGGAAAACCACTTCTGCCCCCTGGGCACAAGAAGTAAGTGTCCTGGGGGTGATTTTAATACAAATGCTGAAAAGTGTTGAGGGTTAAAGTAGTACGTGTAAAATTTAGAGTCCTGCATTTATTGTATGGAACCCTTCATACCAGTTGTTCTTTTACATGCATTAAAATCATACATGTTAAATGGATTTTCATTTGTCATTTATACGGACAGGTTTGAGTTTGGTGTTATGTTTGTTTTTCTTTTTTTTTTTTAGTGATTGCTAGTTCACGAGTTATTGATGATTCACGTTGAATGATCGTTGGCGTGTTATCAATAGATGGTTGCAGGACGAACCTCATGCTGTATGTCAACAAGGCGGTAAAATTAAGTGCACTATTAATTTATATAAGGGAATTAAAAACGCGTTTCGTTGGGTGTTTTTCTTGGGTTGATAACATAGGCAAGATTGTTTGGTATTGTACTCATAAAACCTCTTCATCTAGAGAGATAAGTTCTATTTTAAAATATCACGATATTGTGTAGTTTATCAGGCTTGCGTTTAAAACGTTGTTAACACCTTAATTCTTGTGTAGATTAAGAAGAATCGCTTTTAATTTTAACGTTTTTATGTTGTATTTAGTTTATTCGTTTTGATGGACATCTGGATACCTCTTAAGTAAAATTTGATTTTATTTAGGGATAAGTTTTACAGATTTTTACTTCTACAGAATATATTTTGTAGATGTAGATCATTACTTTTCCATGTTTGTTAAATAAAGGAGTTTCTGCCAAACGGAATTTATATTCTAACTTACTAATTTAAGTAACCCGATTAAAGGACTGATAAAAAAACCCTAAAAACCATACTTAATAACTGTATTTTTTGTATAAAACCGGGCACCTACACCCGCCTACTTTCCAAATTTATGATTACAAAACCTCCACTTAATCCTTCCTCAACTGGAAGCTGTAATCCTGAATCCCATCCTTCGTAATAACATTAATCAAAATACTATCACCTGTAAAAATATCTCTCTCCGCCGCCGAAATAAACACGTCCTTCAGCACCGCCAGGGCCCTCTCCAAGCTCAACTTACTATCCCCCACATTCTGCATGTTCTTCAACCCGATCTGATTATCCAGCAGCGGTTGCAACAACGCTCCAGCCGAGCCCCCCGCTCTGTACGTGGCCTTCTCACAATGCCCGATCGGGTCGTAACTGTACACGCAGCCTTTCCCCTCGTTATCCAGCCCCACGAGAATATTCGAGATGTAGTACGGGAAAAACCTCTTGTAGTACAGCATCGTCGACAGCATCTGGGCGCACGCGGGCGTCGTCATCACCTTGTTGTGCTCCTGCTGGTACATCTGCATCCGCGCCGTCAAAATCCGCGTGAGAGTGAGGGTGTCGCACCAGCACCCGGAACAACCAAGGACTGTGGTGTCCGAAAGACGGAACAGCTTGTTCTGGTCGCGCGTGTAGATGGAGAAGCCGGCGCTGAGACGAGTGTCGGCCCCGATTACGACGAAGTCGTCGCCGGCGATAGCCACCACGCTCCTACAAGACAAAAAAATAAAAAATTGAGAGGTTTCAGGTTAGGTGACTTACCCGCCGTTGTCGGCGTAGGGGCTGAAGTGGTGCTGGGTGGGCGCCGTGGCGTAGTCTGGGTAATGGGGGCGCATTTCTGGCTGCACGAGAGACATGATTCCGCTTAACTTTAAACTGACTTGCAATATTCCAAACAACACAAACGTCAACGTCAAGACGGTCGGTAAAACAGGTTTTGGCTTCTTGCAATCCCGGTTTTTGTAATGTTAACTAAAATAAAAAAAATATTTGTGTCTAAAAATTAATAATTATGACCCAATAATGCAACTACGTGTAAAACACTTCGTTTTTTGTTTAATTCGAACGTCATATTTTAATTTCTAGATTTTGTCGTATTATTTATTAAGTTGGCTCTCTGCAATTTTAATAGTCGCGCTTAAATCGCGTCGTACGATTGGTCGACCGCCATTTTGTACAAGCGCACCGAATTTTGTGCGCACTGAGCCCCACGCTTGCCGCGAAAATTTTCGATTTTTTCAGAAATTACAACTTTCGACGAGCAACAAGTTGATATTTGTGAGACATCAACATGAAGAAGCGAATGCAGCTCATTCCGAAGAAGGCAAGCCACGACCGGGCGTCTCAGGAATCCAAGGTTACGAGCACCCCCAGAACTATGTCTCCGGTGGTGTCTTTGTCGCCCAGCGTTTCCACCATTGCTAACGAAGAAGAGCCAATGGAAGTGGATAGCAATATTAGTACTGAAAGTGGAATGTCTGTGCATAGTGACACCCCTTCGGTTGATGGTTGTACATAAAGTGGTCAAGCCTCCACAATTTTTAATTCATGTTTTTGCTTTCAGCGGTGAATACTAGTCATAGAAAGGCAACGAAAGTTAGAGAAGTTAAGTGGGAGGGGTTTTGGACTTCGCTCCAACCCAAGAATCCGGAAAGTCTTTACTATAAACTAATGAAGCAGCCAGGCGAAGTCGAAGTACAGCGTTGGCTGTGTACCGAATTTACACTAACTGATTCATTGTAGAGTATCGCGATCGACTTTATGAATACGTACAGCAACGATAAAAAGACGGGGATTATTTTGATTCTTCAGCTGTGTGTGGACTTGTGTGGCTACAAAAAATTATCGGTCGGGAAAGTTTACAGTTTTAGTGAGCAAAACTCAAAAGAGTTTGTGCAGAAAATGAAATCCGAACTAATGGAAGAAGATCTAAAAGTAAAATTACCGCTTTGACTATTCACAAACTCATTCATTTTTTATAGAAAACAGGCAAATTCGTGTTTATGAAGATCTCCCGCTTCGGGAGCGTCATAGATCGGATTATTTCCGAGTTTCTGGGTCACGTGGTACTACTAAGTCTCCAAAGTGAGGCTTTATTTGATGGAATTTTCACCCGTCACGTACTCGAATTCATCAATTGCATGTCATTTAGTTTGCTTAGTTGTATACGTGTTACTGGAGTCGTTCTAGGTAACAACCAACTTCGTACTACTCTCTTCTAACGATCATTTTCTAGTACTCAAGTTTTTGACTGCGTTTGTTGATTTATACGCAAAATATTTCAACGACGTACGTGATAAAAATGGTAACTCGGTAGAAACCCCAGAAGACAACAAAAAGTTCGCAGTTGAGACTTTCATCGACTTTCTTTACATAATCTACGACCAAAATGTACTAATACCTGATAATAAATGCTACACATTGAAAGTGAAATGTGCACAGGAGATGTGCCACTGGATAGAAATGTTCCCGGATATTTTTATCCTCAAACGTAGGTGTTTAGGACGTTTAGCGCAACTAGTGCTTGATCATGTAAGTGTTAATTTCAGGGTGTCGATTTTTCTGACTATTTTTTCTAGAATGAGATCGTACGACGTAGCGCTCTTGATACTTGTGAGGCGTTAATTACAAACGAAGAAATTCAAAATGAGATGGAACAGAGAATAGAAATGTGTTTGAAAGTCGTGTCAACGCGAATTATCGACACGAGCTCCAACGTGGCGGTTAAAGCCGTAACAATTTTCACTAAAGCCGTAGACAAGTAAATATATTATTTTAATTTTGGTATGACTGCTTGTACTAAATTTAAATTTGACGTTGTTATTTAGGGAATTTAGTTAACGCCAACACAAATTTTATTACACTGTTTTTCAGATACCGTGAATATTTAACAGAGACTTACATACAGTGTATCGTTGGCAGAATGTTCGAGAAAAATATAACACTAGCTAAAGCCGCCGGAAAATTTTTGGCTGTTTACCTTCGACACCAAAACGAAGACCCTCAGCAGCTTCTATTGCACTTAGTCGAAGTCGCCTATTCAAAAAAAGAGGTATTTATTTTCAACTTTAGTCAAAATTGGTGGATGCGCCGGGCTACCTAATTTTCATTTTAGTACGCCGAACGTGTTCCCTTTTTTCTTGAATCGTGCGTACAATGTATACCAGAATTAGAGGACTGGAAGCTATTTGTAACCACCCTTTTAAACGAAGAGGTTACTTTTCAAACCAGAGTTCGTCTGCTGCACATTTTGAACGAAAATGTCCGATTTTCGCTCACTGGAAAATTTTCGAAAGTGCGACAGGCGACGTTCGAAGGTAATTTTTTGCTCTGTTTGACGTTTTGTAGCAAAGTTTTGTAGTTACGGAGTTGCGGTCCGACGATCGACTGGAAATCGTGAACGTCGTGATTCCGGTGTTTGAAAATTTGATGTGTCAGTTTCAGACGGATAAGACGTGCCTGAAACTGCTCGTCGAAATTTTGTCGTTTATTAAATACGACTCGGAGGATCGGGAAAATATTCAGGCCGTGAGTAATTGAAGTGACTATTACACATTACAACTTATTACAATTTCAGTATTACCCGGCCATTTTTGGCCTACTAAGAGAACTCTTCAGCGTTAGTACCGACAAAGATCTGCTGGAAGTTATCACAACCACGTTTTGGTATTTTTGCGAAAAACACTACTATCTAGCGAAAGCTCTCATAGACGATATTAAAAATAAACATGTTGTTGCATTACATGCAGATCTGGAACAACTGGTAAGTCTCGTAATTTTATTAAAATTAGTACAATTAATAAAATTGCAGAGTCCTAGCCTCGACCGGAATTTATTAACGCGTTTAAGGGGAACCTCGATGAAACTTTCCCTCCTTTTTGTAAAATTTGACTTAACTAGTGCCTTACAGTGGGACGATATTTTCCAAGTGTGGGACAAGAACTCTTTGAAGGTCTTTGCAAACACATTTTCAGACAAAAAACTAAAAAAAAAAAATTGTAGGCCCTCAAGTACTTAGTAACTTGTTGCAAATGGTATTTAGTGTGGAGTTTGCGCAAATTTATAAAGTCATCGATGGGTGAAAACGGCGTCCAGATCAACCGTTCGCTTTACAATAACTGCAAAAACTTTATCTATGGTTGTTTAGAAATATTACGATATACCAAGGACTCTGAATCTTTCTTGGTACCCGAAAAATATTATTTTAGTTCTTGTAAAACGCTTAATTTGCAGACGTTTGAAGAGTTGTGCGACTTGTATGCCAGTTTTGAAAAAGAACTCCAGCGCAAGCGCCGATACTCGATTTTTTTCGTTAAAATTGACGAAATTAATCACCAGGAAGCTCTAGTGAATTTCGTCGCTGTGTCCGTTATTGAAAATACTGAACGTAAAAAATTTATTTATAATTTGGTATAAATTTTATCGTTTGAATTTCTAGTGGGTTTGGCCGAACGACAAAAGTATTTGGCTAAACTCGTAGATATAATTTACTTGGATGTGATTCCTGTGGAATATTTTGCCAAGATATTGCGCTACTATCACACGGTAAATTTTACTCTTTTTTGGTTCATGATTATGCTTTGCCCGTTATAGCACTACACCGAGTTCGGGGTAATAATGCAGCAGGTTATAACCCAGCTCGCGCTGTCCCATCCAGCTCTCCCGTTGGTGATATTCCACACCTTGGCCCAAATATACAACGAAATCCTCGCCAAAAACAAAATCGTGAATATTCGTAGCGTCGAATCCAAACAGTTGCAGCTACTGGCAAGAAAATTTTCGTCGCTTAAAGAAATCAAATCTCGCTATGTGTTGCCGAAAATGGTGAACATGTCCATCACTTTTTCCTTTAAAGAGAAACAAAATTACCAGTTCTTTTATTTTGCGAGACATTTTGCTAAGCTTTTGGACGAAGTTGGTAGACGTGACGCGTAAGTGAATTGACAGAGTAAAAACGACTAAAATTAGTTTTGGGTCTTAGGTACAACATTTTCGCGAAAATGGTGCCCAAGGAGGATAGGAATGACGACGTTCTTTTAATATTTGCCGCCACTTTGAAACAAAAGAAATAGTGTGTAGGATTAATTTTTATTTGTTTTGGTATATATTGGTTTTTCTATGTTTATTTGTTGCATTTTTGGATGTTTATATAAATATAAACGATAAACATCACTTTTTATTTTTATCAAAACTTAACTAACAATAACAAGGTTAAAGTAAAATTTAACAATTTTTATAACGAAACTGAAAGCACTGTTTTTCGATTAACGAATTAATGATTCACCAGATAGTACACTTTTTTCGTGTCGAACTCTTTATCTAATCAGTTTTAAATAAATTTTGTGCACAGTCATTCAGATTTCTCGTCTATATTTACCTTCCAAGATTCGAAAAAGTGAACAGTGAACTTGCATTTTCGAACATGTCGACTGCACATTTAGGACCAGGTGAGATTTCAATACATTTTTCTAAATTTAATTTTTTCGTTTTCATACAGGGTCTCAACAACCCCCCAAAGTCGACGGCAAACTCCGTCTTTATTCGATGGAATTCTGCCCCTACGCCCAACGCGCTCGTTTGGTTTTAGCAGCGAAAAATCTTCCTCACGACATCGTCAACATCAACCTCAAAACGAAACCAGAATGGTACTTCAAAGTACACCCAGAAGGTTTCTAACACACTCTTGTTCTGGCCATTTTTCTACTAATCTATTTCAGGAAAAGTCCCTGCTCTAGACACCGGATCCGAAGTTATAATCGAAAGCCTCGTCATTTCCGACTACCTAGACGAAAAGTACCCGAATCCTATTCTTTACCCTAAGGATCCTGCAGCCAAGAAAGAAGACCAGGAGCTGATCAAAAAAATCGAGTCCCTGACTAGCGTCTTCTATAAGTTACTTCTGGGGAAAGAGGACCAGTCGCCGGAAGAATGGGCCAAAGCATTCGTTGCTGAGTTGGACGTATTCGAGAAGGTTTTAGCTTCTAGAGGGACAAAGTTCCTCGGGGGTGATAAGCCAGGAATGGTAGGCTATTATTTAATAACAACTCTTTTGGTATTAATTTTTGTGTAGGTCGACTACATGTTATGGCCTTGGAGCGAACGTAAAGGAGTTCTGTCCTTGAAATTGGGCCAGAAGTTGCCTATAGGTGAAGGCCAGCTGACCTTGGTACGTAAATGGCACGAGGACATGTTGCAAGATGCAGCTGTCAAGGCTACGTACAACGATCTAGAGAAGCACTGGAAACTTACACAGTCTAGATTGAATAATACGTCTGTAGATTACGATAAAATATAATTTTCTGTCTGATATAAATAAATGTTCAGTTTGACATTGTACGTTATTGCAGACGCTTAAATCCCATCATCCCAAGTAAAACATTTGTAAATATTTGTCTTTATAGTGTGTCTGTAATGCTTTCGATTTTGCCGCTTACCTTTAAAGTGGAACTTATTATATCGCTTCGCGTGAAACGTCATTTTGACATTTTGCTTATAATTTCCATTTTGACGAAGTGGCAAAAATTGAAAGTAATAAATCCAGACTAAGATTTTTTATTCATGTAATTATGAAAAACGGGCAATCAACACATAATTACTTATCATTTTTCACATACTTAAGATAATTATTTTCTATGTTTTTAATTATACACTTAAAACGTTATGATAGCACGACTGTTAACAATAAACATTCTTTATCTAATCGAGACTTTTAACCGGTTTTTGCTTGGTCATGACCGCTAGGCGCCTCTGTTCCAGGACCAAAACTCTCCTAATTAACATGTCGAAGTTACATTTAGCCGCAGGTGAGTAATTTTTGTTTGTTTATTTTTTAACTTGTGACGCAGGGTCGCAGCAGCCCCCCAAGGTCGACGGAAAACTCCGTCTCTACTCGATGGAATACTGTCCCTATGCACAAAGACCTCGACTGGTGCTCAATGCGAAGAACATTCCACACGACATCGTCAACATTAATTTATTGGACAAGCCTGACTGGTATTTTAAAATACACCCAGAAGGTAAACGGTTTCCGAATGTTTATAACCGAAAAAAAACTGCTTCGTCATTGTTTACGACACAGTTTGCGTTATCTTTTTAGGAATCGTTCCTGCTCTGGATACCGGTTCAGAGATTGTCATCGAGAGCCTCGTGATTTCCGATTTTTTGGAAGAAAAGTATCCGAAACCGGCTTTGTATCCCGCGAATCCGGAAGCCAAAAAACGGGATCAAGAGCTAATTGAAAAGATAGATCCTTTATTGAGTGTGTTTTTTCTATGTCTTTGGAAAAAAGATTTAAAGACGCCGGAGGAGTGGGTCGAGGAATTTGTCCCCCACTTGGAAGTTTTTGAGTCGGAACTTGGTTCCAGAGGGACGCCTTTTTTTGGAGGGAGTAAACCGGGAATGGTAGGTTATGGACATTTTCAATTTAAAAATTGACAAGTGACACTTATATTTAGGGGAATGTAATTACACCAACAGAAAAAAATAATACACCATTTTTCAAATGTTTCAGGTTGATTACATGTTGTGGCCATGGGGTGAACGCAAAGATCTTATTGTTGTTGCTTTTGGTAAGAAATTACCCTGCGAAAAAAATAAATTTACACTGTTAGAAAAGTGGTACCAAGCCATGTTACAAGATCCCCCATGTAAAGCCACACATAACGATATAGAACAACACTGGAAAGTTGTCCAGCAGAAGATTAAAAGTTTGGAAAGCAAATTATAACACCAACTTCAAATTTTGTGATTAATGTTACTCACTAATTAATATTGTTTATTTTTGTTATTGTTATCACGTAATTAAATTTACCGCCGAAACCTAGTAACTTTTGCTAACCTCAAACCCAAACGTCAAAATTCAAATCATCAATTTGTCACCGCAAACTTATCCATACCACACCCGGTTTCAGGAAAATCCTGATTTCCACCCAGTGAAAATTGCTTGAAACCAGTCGCGAGATTCGCGTAGACTGACCAGAGTCCGCGAATTCTGAGACCTCAAGGTACCCCCACAAACCAATCGCTGCACCGCATAACCCAAACACGTTTCAGATGACTGAACAGCACCGCTTTGGTACTTTAGTGAGCCCCATCACGTGCCACGCCTGGAACAAAGACAAAACCCGTACGTACCCCCTTAAAACCAACCACGTATAACCCCCAAATCCACAGAAATCGCCCTATCACCCAACAACCACGAAGTCCACATCTACAAGCGCACCGGCTCCGAATGGAAGCTGCTCGACGTCCTCAACCAACACGACTTGCGCGTTATGGGTATAGACTGGGCTTCTAACACCAACCGAATCGTCACCTGCGCTGCGGACCGCAACGCCTACGTCTGGACTCTCGACAAAGACAACAAGTGGAAACCCACTCTGGTCCTCCTGCGTATAAACCGCGCCGCCACTTGCGTGAAATGGTCACCTGACGAAAACAAGTTCGCCGTGGGTTCCGGCGCCCGCTTGATCTCAGTTTGCTACTTTGAGTCAGAAAACGACTGGTGGGTGTCCAAACACATTAAAAAACCCATCCGGTCGACAGTCACCACTTTGGACTGGCACCCCAACAACGTGCTACTCGTCGCCGGGTCAACCGATTTCAAAGTGAGAGTCTTTTCAGCTTACATCAAAGATATCGAGAAGACTCCAGAACCCACACCGTGGGGCTCGAAAATGCCTTTGGGGCACCTTCTGGCGGAGTTTGCCAATTCCAACTCAGGTGGCGGTTGGGTTCAGAGCGTCAGTTTTTCGCCCGATGGGAACAAGGTTTGCTGGGTGGCGCACGACTCAACTATTAATGTTGCAGATGCCAGTAAAGGGAACGCTGTTTTTAAGCTGCGTACGGAGTTTTTGCCGTTTTTGAGTTGTACTTGGATCACGAATAAGTCGATTGTGGCTGCTGGGCACAGTTGTATTCCGATTTTGTATAGTTTGACGGATAATGGGCAATTGAGTTTTGCCGGGAAGCTGGATAATTCGCAGAAGAAGGAGCTGGGGGGGTTGACTGCGATGAGGATGTTTCATTCTTTGGATAAGCAGGCGAGGAGCGAGTCGTCCGATACTAATTTGGATTCCATTCATCAGAATGCTATTACTTGTGTGTGCGTTTATGGGGGCACGAAGGGCGGCGTTACGAAGATAAGCACGTCTGGATTGGATGGGCAGTTGGTTATTTGGGATTTGCATTCGCTGGAGAAGGCGATTCAAGGGTTGAAGATTGTTTGAGTTAAAGGATTTTGTATTGTGTTGACGATTTCAGTCGTTTTTCGATAATAAATACTTGTCAGATTAAATTAATTGTGTTAATGTGCAAGTGCCCCCTTGACGATTCTAAATATTGGAACTTTTTATTTTTTTTCACCAGTTTTGTTGTGGTAGCAGTGTCGAATTGACAATTGACAAGTCACGCTAACATAACCCCACCAAATTTATTTTACCATGTAATTATCATTTTTTTACCCTTTCTCATGACTTGAGCCCCCACATTTGCACCAACTAGTAACAATATCGCAGCAACCGTAAGTCAGTGTCGAATTTAGTCCCACATAACCTCAAAATCGCCAATTTCTAGATGTCTGAAGATTCCGCTGTCGTAGTCAGGGCTAAACCCGCCCGTAAGGTTTTCAGCGCCAAAAAAATAACAAGAATCCCTGACTCAATCCTACACGACCCAAAACTACAAGCAGCCATTGAATCCTTGCCGAAAAACTACAACTTTGAAGTCCCAAAAACGATCTGGCGCATCAAGGAGTTACAAGCCAAAACGGTGGCCCTTCAAATGCCCGAAGGCCTTCTCCTGTTTGCCACCACCATTGCCGATATAATTAAAGAGTTCACGGGGGCGGATTCCGTGATTATGGGGGACGTGACGTACGGCGCTTGTTGCATAGATGACTTAACAGCGAAAGCTCTGGGGGTTGAGTTGTTAGTGCACTATGGACACAGTTGCTTAATCCCCATCGACCAAACCAGCGGAATAAAAGTTTTGTATATTTTCGTCGATATTAAAATCGACCCTCTACATTTTATAGAAACGATAAAATTGAATTTTCCAACTTCAACTAAAATAGGGCTTGTTAGTACGATTCAGTTCATCACGACGCTACAGGGTGTCTCCGCTAATTTGAAAGAAGCGGGGTATGATGTGTCGATCCCGCAGTTCAAACCTTTATCCCCTGGTGAGATTTTAGGGTGCACTGCCCCCAAACTCAGATGTGCAGACGTAATTATTTATTTAGGGGATGGGAGGTTTCATTTGGAGGCTGCGATGATTGCTAACCCCAAATTACAAGCTTATCGGTATGACCCCTATGATAAAAAGTTCACAAGAGAGTACTATGATCATGCCCAAATGGAAATTAACAGGAAGGGTTGTATTGAAAGGGCTAAAGCCGCCAACTCGTTCGGGGTGATTATGGGGACTTTGGGGCGACAAGGGAGCCCTAAAGTCGTCGAGCACTTGAAAAGTCGGTTAGAAGGGCTGCAAAAAGACGCTGTTATTATTTTATTATCTGAGATATTTCCTAAAAAGTTGGATTTGTTTACTAATTTAGACGCTTTTGTGCAAGTCGCGTGTCCACGACTTTCGATTGACTGGGGGCTGTCTTTTAGCAAGCCGTTTTTGACTCCGTACGAGATGGCGGTGACTTTGGGGGAGGTGGAATGGCATAAGGCAGAGGGGAGTTACCCCATGGACTTTTATGCGAACGCCAGTTTGGGGCCTTGGACGCCTAATCATAAGCCTGAAGAGAAAATTGACAAGTGTTGTGGAAAATGTCCTTAGGTTTAGAATAAATGTTTGTCCTGATTGAAGTATTTTTTATTCCATTATGTAATAGTTGTTTGGGATGACGTCATCAATTTTTTGGAGGGGGTAAACAATAGTCTAATCCGGCGGTTCTCAAAATGTACTACTTTACATACAGAAATTACGTTACTTTCTCGATCTAACCAAGCGAAGTGTTGCATGACAAAAGTTTTCAGAAGGGGATCATTTTTGAAAAAGTTTGAGAACCACTGCCCGATCAATAAAATAGTTGTATAACGTGGAAGATAAAACTACAATTTAATGTCACGAGGGATATTTTAGGGGTGGTCGCCATTTTGTCGCGATTGGCCATTTTAAAATCGCCGCCCTCTGTCGAAAAAGGCCCGAGCCGCATTCTCCCTAGATTTCGTACTTTTCCGTTTTGGTTTAGCGGTTTTTCTTCCGATCCGCGATGTGAGCACGAGTTCGGCTCTCGCGCCTCCGGCGCCGTCCCACGTGCGCCGTGCGCCGCCACCGCATATCTCCGGCCGTCGGTATTGATCGCGCCCGCCCCTCCGACCGCGACGCTCGCGTCCGGCAGTCTCGCTCGTGCGGCGGCAGTCTCGCGAACTCGGCGGCGACAAGATGCCCTCGTGACCACCATGTCGTCGATTTCGGCCCAGGGGGTGGTGGAGCGCGCCTCGGCGGAGCTCTCCAAGCGCATCAACGGCCTGGGCCTCCGCGGCAGCAAGCACCACTCGGCCAAGGGCAGCGTGATGGAGCGCGTCACCAACGTGTTCTGCGGCGGGGGCGCGGCGGCCCCCGAGAAGCCCTCGCGGCTGGCGGCGCGCGCCAGGCCGGGGCCGGCGGCGGCCGCGGCACAGCGCCGTCCCCGCCCGCCGCCGCAGTACCTCTCGTGGGAGCAGCTGATGCTCGACGAGAAGTTCCTCGGGAAGTTCTTCATGTACTTCAGTGCGTGCGAGCGCTGCGTGCTGGCGCGGGTGTGCACCAGGTGGCGGGACGTGCTGTACAGGAGCCCCAGGTACGGCGCCCCAAGGGGGAACGCGCTTTTACGATTTCTGACGAGCGACAAGGGAAAACAGATGACATTTGGTGGAGAGTTGTAGCCAAAAAAATAAGGGTTCGGAGTAGGCTGTTTTATTACATCACTCCACGCTACTGACTTCACCACTTTCTCAAATTAATAAGTGATTCCATTAAATTCAGAATTATAAAAAAAAACGAATTTCATAAGAATTGTTAATTCAATTTCTCTGCTTCTCATTGTTTTAATATCGACCGAACTTGAAAAAAATTTACGGTTGTGACTTTTTTTTTCGCCAGGTACTGGACGGGGCTGGTGCCGGTGCTGCAGTGCCGCGAGCTGAGGGGAGCGCAGGGCAACGAGCGGACGCGGTTGTACTCGTCGCTCCTGCGGAGGGGGTTCCACAATCTGTGTCTGATGGGGGCTTCCGACGAGGATGCGATTGATCTGGTTAACTCGTTCCCGCTGGCGTCGAAGCACATACACACGCTGAGCTTGAGGTGCTCGAGTATCACGGATCGGGGGCTGGAGAGCTTGTTGGACCACCTTCAGGTGAGTGGGAGGCGAGGGTGTCTTTCAAGTAAGTGACAAATTTGTGGTGAAGAGGAAATTGGGTCACTTTGGTCACGTTTTTGACAAAATTTTAAAAAATACTACAATTTACAGATGTTTTTGACATTTTTTTGTGTTAAAACGTTAAACATTTAAAAAATGGTCAAAAGTACCAAATACGGCAACAATTGTAAGGTCCATATAGTCAAACGTTGTCAAAATCTCAAAAATATGAAAGATATCAAAGACGTTAAATCTCTTACGTATTAGAGATATAAAAAAAAATGTAAACCGCCAAAAAAGTAACAATATGTCAAAAATGCTGAACTGTCAAAAGTGTTGTATGTATTAAAAACGCGAGAAAAATAAACGTCAAGAATATTGAGAACGTGTCAAAATATCCAAAGTTTTAAGATTCAGTGTCAAATATCCTCAAAAACTGCTGACAACAATATGTGAAAATGTCAGATATGTCAAATACAACAAATGTAACAAAACCGTCAAAAATAACAAGACGTCAATATTATTAAAAATGACGAAAAAATCGAAAATGTCAAAATGTTAAAAATCTAAGAAACATATGTTAAACTTTTTATTTAAAAATGTTTGACAGTCAAAAACTTCCAAAACGCCGAATACGTAAAAAGAAAGCCAGAATTATTAAAATGTCAAAAATGTAAAACATGACATCGAGACTGTCAGAAATATAATATGCAGAAAAATTAAAAAATGTCAGATATGTCTAAAGCATCAAACACGTCATAGTTATCTCCAATATAGGGAAAAAAACGTTAAAATAAATTAAAACGTCAAAAATATTATATAAACTTAAAAAACATCGAGAACGTGTAAGAATGTTCAAGGTTACAAGTATCAAATATTCTTAAAAACAAAATGCCAAGAATGATGTGTCGGATATACGTGAAAACATCAGATATGTCATACACATTAAATATTTGAAAGTTGTCAAAAATATCAAGACATCAACATTCTTAAAATAGACAAAAAAATCAAACACATCAATTATTTCAAAACTGTCAAAAATAACAAGATGTCAACAGTCAGAACAACAGACAGAAAAAATCAAAAAAGTGTTAAAAATCTCAGAAACAAATATGTTAAATTTTTTATTTAGAAATGTCAAAAATGCTAAATTACTCAAGAAAGTCAAATATCAAGATTTTTACAAAAAAAAGTTTGACAGTCAAAAACTTCCAAAACATGAAGTACGTCAAAAAATGCCAGAACCGTTAAAATGTCAAAAAGGGTAAAGATGTCAACTACTCTAAAGACTGACAGAAATACAATTTAGAAAAAAATTAAAAAGTGTCAGATATGTTCAAAACATCAAATACGTCACAGTTATCAACAATATGAAGGAAAAAAAAATGTCAAGCATTCTTTAAAAAAAAATCTTCAAATATGTCAAATATACGTGAAAATGTCGGCTATTTTAAACACATCAAATATTTCAAAATTGTCAAAAATAAGACTTCAACATCTTAAAACTGACCAAACAAATACAGAAATAAATAAAAATCAATATACCAAATTCAAAATTATCAAAATAACCAGACATCATGATTCTTAAAATTGATAAAAAAGTCAAAAAACTAAAAAAGTCAATCTGAGAAACAGATTTGTTAAATTTTTTATTTAAAAATGTCAAATTTCAAAATCTCTTAAAAAAAACCTTTGGGATTAAAAAACTTCCAAAACAAAGTACATCAAAAAATGCCAAAACCGTTAAAATGTCGAAAGTGGTAAAAATGTGAACGATGTCAACAATGTTAAAATTGATAAAAAAATCAAAAAAGTCAAAGTGTTAACAATATCATAAACACATATCTTAAATTTTTTATTTAGAAATGTCAAAAATGCTAAATTACTCAAGAATGTCAAATATCAAAATTTTTACAAAAAAAGTTTAACAGTAAAAAATTTCCAAAACACGGAGTACGTCAAAAAATGCCAGAACCCTTAAAATGTCGTAAGTGGTAAAAATGTGAACAATGTCAACAATGTTAAAATTGACAAAAAAAATCATAAAAGTCAAAGTGTATAAAAAAAATATCATAAACAAATAATTATGTTAAATTTTTAACTTAGAAAGTCAAAAATGCTAAATTACTCAAGAAAGTCAAATATCAAAATCTATACAAAAAAAGTTTAACAAACTTCCAAAACACGAAGTCCAGAACCGTTAAAATGTCAAAAATGGTAAAGATGTCAACTACTCTAAAGACATCGAGACTCTCAGAAATACAATTTACAAAAAAAATTAAAAAGTGTCAGATGTGTTCAAAAGATCAAATACGTCATAGTTATCAACAATGAAGAAAAAAAAAGGTTTAAAAATGTCAAGCATTCTTTAAAAAAAATCTCTAAATATGTCAAATATACATGCAAATATCAGATATTTCAAACACACCAAATATTTCAAAATTGTCAAAAATAAGACGTGAACATTTTAAAACTGACAAAAAAAAATAAAAATTCAAACATACCAAATACTTCAAAAAAGTAAAAAAACTATAAGCCTCGATCTCAGAAATAAGTATGTTAAAATTTTTATTTAAAAATGTTAAAAGTACTAAATAACTCAAGAATGTCAAATATCAAAATCTCTCAAAAAAAAACTTTTGAGATTAAAAAACTTCCAAACCATGGAGTACGTCAAAAAATCCCAGAACCCTTAAAATGTTGTAAGTGGCAAAAATGTGAACAATGTCAACAATGTTAAAATTGATAAAAAAAAAAAAACAAAAAAGTCAAAATGTTAAAAATATCAAACAAATAATTGTTAAATTTTTTACTTCGAAAGTCAAAAATGCTAAATTACTCAAGAATGTCAAATATCAAAATTTTTACAAAAAAAAAACGTTTAAAAATGTCAAGCATTCATCTCCAAATATGTCAAATATACATGAAAATATCAGATATTTCAAACACACCAAATATTTCAAAATTGTCAAAAATAAGACGTCAACATTTTAAAAGTGACCAAAAAAACATCAAAAATCAAATATTCCAAATATTACAAAACTGTTAAAATACAAGACGTCAACATTCTTAAAATTGACAAAAAAGTCAAAAAACTAAAAGAGCCAACCTCAGAAACAAATATGTATGTTAAACTTTTTATTTAAAAATGTCAAAAGTACTAAATAACTCAAGAATGTCAAATTTCTAAATCTCTCAAAAAAAAAAACCTTTAAGATAAAAAAATTCCAAAACACGGAGTACGTTAAAAAATGCCAGAACCGTTAAAATGTTGAAAGTGGTAAAAATGTGAACAATGTCAACAATCTTAAAATTGACAGAAAAATAAAAAAGTCAAAGTGTTAAAAATGTCAGGAACAAATATGTTAAATTTTCTATTTAAAAATGGAGAAAACGCTAAATAACTCAAGTGTCAAATGTCAAAATTCCAAAAAAAAAATTGACAGTCAAAAATTTCCAAAACGCAGAGTGTCAAAAAATGCCAGAATCGTTAAAATATCGAGTGGCAAAGATGTGAACGATGTTAACAATGTTAAAATTGACAAAAAAAAATCAAAAAAGTCAGTGTCAAAAATATCATAAACAAATATGTTCATTTTTTATTTAGAAATCTCAAAAATATTAAATTACTCAAGAATGTCAAATATCTAAATTTTTGAAAAAAAAAAAAAATTTGTAAGTTAAAAACTTCCAAAAGACGGAGTACGTCAGAAAATGCCAGAACAAATATGTTAAACTTTTTATTTAAAAATATCAAACGTACTAAATAACTCAAGAATGTCAAATATCAAAATCTCTCAAAAAAAACCTTTGAGATTAAAAAAAATCCAAAACACGCAGTATGTCAAAAAAATGCCAGAACGATGTTAAAATCAACAGAAAAGTAAAAAAAATCAAATTGTTAAAAATCTCAGAAAAAAATATGTTTCTATTTAAAAATGTAAAAAACGCTAAATAACTCAAGAGTGTCAAATGTCAAAATCCCCAAAAAAAGTTTGACGGTCAAAAACTTCCAAAACACGGATTACGTCAAAAAATGCCAAAACCGTTAAAATGTCAAAAATGGTAAAATGTGAACGATGTCAACTGCTTCAAAGACAAAATCTGTCAGAAATATAATTTACAGAAAAATTAAAAAATGTCAGATATGTTAAAAATGCCAAACATGTCATAGTTATTAAGAATAAAAAAAAATCAAAATGTCAAAAATATTAAATAAACATGAAGAATATCAAGAACTTGTAAGAATGTCAAAATTCAAGGTTAGAAGTGTCAAATTTTCTCCAAAAACCCACCAATATACGTGAAAAAAATAGATATGAAATCAAAACTGGAAAAGGTCAGTGTTAAACATTTCAGAAAAACTTAAATAGAATACGTGAGTATATTAAACATTTAATTTCAAATTGTCAAAAATGCCAATAATTTCAAGAATGTAAAGAATACATAACAAAAACGTCAGAAACGTTAAGATGTCAAAAGTGGTAAAAATGTGAACGGCGTCAATATATGGAAAAGGCGAAAAATATCCAACAGAGAAATTGTCAAGAACAAAACACCTAAAAATGCTGAAATTATGAAAAATGTTAAAACAAAAATGTCAAAAACCTCACTAAAAATGTGTCAAAATTGTTATAATGTTTGAGATTAAAAAATTCCTAAAACGTGAAATACGTCAGGAAATTGACAACGTCAAATCTGTGAAAAATGTAGGGAGTGTCAAAAATGACAAAAAAGGTAAAATTTTGAAAATGTGAAAAATAGACTATATGTCAAACATGTTTCGAAATATCAAGAATTTGAAAAACGTCAAAAAAATCAAAATATCAAAAATAAGTATGTTACAAACGGCAAAACACGCGTATAAAATAGACAAAATGTCAAAATATCTAAAAGTTAAAAAAATGAAGAAAATGTCCCAAACGTCAATATGACATAGACAAAAGAATCTCAAAATTGCCAAATATGCTTGCAAGTGGCACTAACGTGAACACCGT